GTCAAAAGGATGATGTCAAAAAACAAGCTTTGTCAAACCAATTAGCTTCGTCTCAGTGAAAAATACATCGATTAAAGAACCCAATGCTTGATATATAAAAACTTACACACATAACAGAACAAGATGAAACAGTAATTGATCAAATGGAAGATATCAAGCACAGTAACAAGGAAGCAATAATTGACATACCATAACTTTTAATGCTATCAAATAGCTTCACAATGTCATTCTTTACAACTTCAATCTGTCAAAAACATAAATACATGTTTAATTTGGTGCTTGAGCAAGATAAAACTATCGACATAGTCACAGAAAAATTAAAATTTGGTTACAAATTGGACAACAGCTATAGTGTTGAAAACTAATACCAGCCAAAAGATAAACAAGATAGAAACAAAAGTTATATAATAACAAAGCAACTCAGCTAACTAGTTAGAACAAAGGTGATGCCACTGACCTATCATTATCTCCAAAGCCAACTATCAAACTGAAGAGTCGATAGTTGAGACTGAACCAAAAAGAAAAGTAAAGGCTGACCAGACAAATAACCAGACCAACAAGCATTATGTTAACTACTCGGAGATGGCTTCATCAGTCCTAAAGTTCTAGATACTTTTCTATTAGTAGTTATAGATCTAGATTTTCCAAAACTTTTATCCAATTTATATATATGTTATGAATACTTATATCAATGCACAGTTATCTCCATCTTATCCAGAATACAAAAGTGCTGCATGTGTCATACGGAACTTTGACTTTACTGAAATTAGATATATTGTGTAAACTACAACAAATATTCAGTCTCTAATTCACAATCAACAAATTTGTGTACAGCCTAACTTTTTTATACTTACCGAACAAACAACATAGATACAACATGAAACATAAATCAATAAGCTTGACTCAGACAAATCTTATGTCAATTCAAGGTAGATACTTTGACATTGTTGCACTAAATAGAAGTTTGAGTTTTATAAAAAAATGATGGTCCGGTGCACAAGGCTTCCACTAATGCAGGATAACAGGAAATAACCCTTCAAGTAGGAAGGTTATTTCCACAACTAAAACCCTGGTCAACTAGATCGGGAAAAATCAACCTTGCCAATAACACGAAATTGTTTGGATTTTGATACCATGTAAAAGAGTAAATTATTTTATGCATAATGAAGACTTGCCTTAGATTGATCCATGTCTGAATCAGCCAATGAAAGAACACCTGCAAGTGTCTCAAGTGCTATCCCTGTAATGTAAGCGATGTAAGACTAATTAGAAAGGTCATATGACAAATGTCAAATATAGGATGATGACAGTGGCAGTAACATATGTTGAATCCAAGTTCTATCAAAAATGCAAAATGTTCAATACCAGCAGCATGAGTACTAGGTTCAGAATTATCGGAATCATAGCGATATCTTCCATCACTTTGACCATGTGCCTAAAAGTAACAAAATAATCATTCTGTGCAACAAGGATTACATAACAAAAGAAAATGAGAGAAGAGATAACTAAATTTTGCAGGAAAAAAGGAATAGTAGCAGCCAAATCAATCACCTTTATGGAATCAAAGATAACATCAGCATCTAACAAGACAATGCTAGAACCTTGTTGCTGCATGGAAAATGAATCAACTCAGAACCCAAACTTTCCACATACTTAAATCATTGTAAGAGTTCAGATGAAGAACTAGATTAGGAGGTAACAAGGAATATCAAACACTGAGGAGTATTTAAACAGACATATCTTGGTCCATCAAAGTCTAAGAAACAGATAGAAAGAAACTATAAAATAGCAAAGATAACCCTAATATTAGATGTTTGCTGAGCCATTACCTTGATATAAAACAAGCTAAGGACAGAATAGTAGAAATCCATCAACAAGTTTGCTTCCTTTATACCAACAAGAAGTCTTGAAGCAACATCCTACCAAAAAAGAATTATGTGCTGAATGACAAGGTCGCAATAAAATCCACTCAAACTAAAACAGTAAAAAGTGACATGTATCTAAAGGTCTTAGTAAAATTACCTCAAAGATTTGGGTGCCAATCTGGCATCCTAAAATGCTATTCACCCTAAGTGCATGGAAGAGATCCTCGGGCTTAGAAGATGATCCAAGTATCTCTGAAATAATTGGACATGTTGCATGACTTATGTCATAGGTTCTCTCTAGCCCCAGAATCTGGAAAGTTCTCAATGCTTGATAAGCTTCTTCCAAGCTGCAAATCAAAATACACATCAGGAATCGCCCATCATCATTTAAGAATTATGAAAAATAAACTCCAGAGTCCCAGACCATCTAAAACCTAAGTGTTGAAGCATGGTCTTGTTTGAAAACAGAAGGAAAAGTTCAATTACCAGCAACAGTGCATATTAAAAAGAAATGGAATTAAGGAAATGGAGTGTGGAGAAAAACTACAGTTTGGCGATTAGAGACCAAAAGACTTCAAGCAAATCAAAATATGATCTTATCAGGTGAATTACAAACTGAACAAAGAATTTCATCATAGGAATTTGATAAGTAGATGACTCTAGCAGTGAAAGATACATTTGAATGAACTTGACAGATTAACAATTGAAAATTGACACCAGTGCAAAAAACAACTACGAATTCCAGAATAGTCATCATGATTATAAGCAAAATCATTTATTAGCATGCATGATTACAGAATGCGACATGAGAATATCATACAATATCCTGTGATGAAGGTTCAAAACACTTATATTAAAAAAATAGCACACTTAAGCAGCAATTATTCAACTGACTGCATCAGTGACTACTGTTAGTGACCACTCACCACCAGCAAAATCATGTAGATGTTTTGCAAGGTGCAGTTATTAAGGTCCCTGGCATCACTGTAAAACAATATCATATCATTACAACCAAAATTACATGTATCACTCTTAAAACTTAAAAAGTGTAAGCCCCTCGGAAGAACAACAAACTAATCGAATCAAGAGAACAAGAGCATAAACATAATTTAATACTCAGAACAGTAAAATCATATAAGTGATTAAAGAAAGCAAAGGAGAAAAATTATCTGAATAAAATAAATGAGAGAGAAGAGAAGAAAAGATGTCAAAATAAGATATAGTAGACAAAGAAGCGTGCAAAAATTGAAGGATGTTTATCAGTCTAACTAATGTGAAAATGCAGAATTTCCTGGCACATTATATTAGGGAAAAAGGCTGAAAAACACATATTAAAATTTTTCGAAAAAATTATACATGTAGATCTTCTACCACCACATATATATCTAACACTGGAAACGAATAGATTCAAAAATGCATATGCGAATATGATCTAATTTTCAACACTAAGAACTTCTTTTTTCCCAGTAAAACCAACGTTTCGTTCAATAAGTGCTTTGATCAAGACAAACATTTCCTCGTAAATTGAATCTCATTGAGCCGGTACCGTCGGCTAAACTAAACAACCCTAGACCAAGCAAAATGAATTGCAACGGGCCCATGATCGTTAAAAGATCTATCTTCGACTTGTTTATGCAAACATCACGCGACCTATAATCTAACCTTGGAAATGACCCGTCGACGGGCACAAAAAGCTCCAATGCTGCGGACCGGTGAGCGTCGGAGACCGGCCTGATGACGGAAGCCACGGAGATGGAAAGGCACGCGCAGATCAAGCCGGGAAACCCGAAGAACCGAAGTTTCCAAGCCATGCCTGAGGGAGGGGAGGGCATCAAGGGACCGGCAACACGATGGGAGCGGCCGAGGTCTCGATCGCTGCAGATCCGGAGTGCGATCTGAGACCTATGGATTCATCGATTGCAGACCGGGGTTTATACTTCCCGTGGCTTTCTAGGGTTTAAACTAGTAGTCCGAGATCGGGACGAGAACGAAGCAACAGAAAATTTCGGTGACGAACCGAGGTCCAAACCGAAACGAAGCGACATGTCAGGTTGGGCTGCGGTGAAGATCTCCTGTCTCGAATAAGACACGAAACATAGTTTTCAATAAAAACTAACTTTTAATAAAAATAAATAAAATTGGAGAAATTAATATAAACTTTTAAATACAAAAATAAAAGTTTAAAAATAATAAAAATAAAGCATATGAGAAATGAAAAAATAACGAAGAAAATAATAAGTATAACATAAATAGAAAACATAGGAGAAATAAAAGAAAATCAATGTATTATTTATAAATATAACAAAAAAAATACTTTTTGATAAATCTAAAGTTACAAAAAGAAAAGTAAAAAAATATTTAAAAAATAAAGGAGCTAGTTTTATCTTCCTAATCATTTGGACCTCAACAAAATCCCAACCAAAGTTTCTAAAGGCCCATATGATGACAGCGTTCCCTTCTTCAAAGCCCTCTCAATCTCTCTCTCTCTCTCTCTCTCACGTCTCCCTTTTCCCTTTAACAACTACCCTCTCCCTCTCTTCTTTCTCAAAACCCCTCCTCTTCCATGTCAACCTGCCACCGCGGGTAACACATACTCCAGACTCCACCACTGTCCCTCCTCCCTTCCCCTCCCAAGACCGGAAGAAAACCAGCCTCTTCTCCCCGAGAGAGATGGCTTCTGTCCCCGCAGCTCAGTCTCTCCCCCTCCTCCTCCTCCTCCTCCTCCTTGTCATTGCTTTACTAACCCACTTCCCATGCTCCACCGATGTGAGTCCTTCCCTTCCTCACTTCTGTTTGGCATTTTGCCATTGTCATGTACTGATCGTGCAGGCTTCTCTTTTCCTGCATTCTGAGCCAGGCGGCGAGCGGGCCGACGGCGTCGATGAGGCCTGCATCGGCGGCGCTGCCGGGGCTGAAATCGGTGCTGATCGACGAGGCCAAGCGGCGGCGTCGGCTCAGCAGCTTCCAGATATGCGCCCTTTGCACATGCTGTGGCGGCCCACGGGGCCTCTGCTTACCTTCTCCCTGCTGCTACACCATCAACTGCAACATCCCCAACAGGCCCTTTGGCTTCTGTTCCTTCACCCCCAAGACGTGCAACTGCTTTGGGTGCCACCTCTGAACCGCTCTCCTAGGTTATATCCTTTACTTGCTTGGTCATCAGTCACTGTGTGTGTGTGTTGGGGGTGCCAATTGAGAAGAAAGAACGTTCCTTTTTGTTTTGATTTCTGCTTCTATTGGTATTGGTTTACATATGTATTGCATCCGCACAGGGGATTGTTAAAATGTTTATATTGAGTGGTACTTCTAATTTGTAGTACTTGTCTGCTGAATTGTACTAGTTTAGTCAGCATTTAGGAATGTAGCAAGTGCATTGCTCATGGTTTTTGATACTGCTAGAATTGAGTGGGAGTACCAGTTGTGAGTGGGTGTTCGAAGATGAGTTCTGAGTTAAGGGTGTTGGTTGGTTGTTCACCATTCATCAATAAAGAAGGCACCCAAAAGTATGTGGGAGGTGGGTGGGAGTTGGCTAGGGGCATTAAAGCCAATAGTTTATGTAGTATGGTTGGTAATGTGGTCCTTTTATTTTTTATGGAAGGTATTTAGGGGAATCATATACTTACCACTATGTTGTGTTTTAGTGTTTAGATCTCGCTATAAATTTGAGTGCATATGGCATGATGATGTCAAGAACAAAGTTGAGGATGTCCCTTGTGCTTGAGCTTTCTTTATGCTTTTTCCCATGGAGACAAAAGTTTCTTGATTGCATTCATACATAGACCGGAACAGAATAAATACCTCATGTGATGGAAGGCTACTTGAGGGATCATTTACTTACCACTCTGTTGTGTTTGAGTATGTAGTTCTTGCTATAAATTTGAGTGCCTATGGCATGATGATGTTAAGAAGAATGTTATGGATGTGCCTTGTGCGTAAGCTTTCTTTATGCTTTTTCCTTGGAAACAATGTTTCTTTATGCTTTCTGAAGTCTTAAATTGTATACATATATAGACTGGAACAGAATAAATACCTCTTGTTAATGGTGAGCTGGGATCATCCCTTCCAAAAGAAGACGAAGATGGTGCTTATCTTTTTTCTAAGACAACTGTTGTAATTTAGGGTTTCTTTTCATATATCAAATAGGTGAATTTGTACTGTCCTCTGCATGTGGGATCTCATGAGATTGGTAGTATTAGTGACCCCACAATCATCTGAGTATGCATGCCATGCAAGGCTTTTTTGAAGAGCAGGAATCTTGTTGACCAGCTTATGGAGGGTGCCTTCCCTCCATGTGCCTATGTGTGTCTTCTTGACAGCTTATGATCTAGCTTCTGACATATTTTAATCATGTGTAACCTAGGTAGAAAAATAAATGAATCAGCATAAGAACATAAATCTAGAGAAAACATACACACAAGATAAAGCATCCAATGATTATGTGCCTTCTATATTGGTCACGTTAGCAGTTTATTTTGTCTTAATCTTCACTCTTAACATGTCACAAAGATTATTGTAATGGTGTCCTGCTCAATTCTTAGTTTTTTTTTTGTAGGAAAATATCTGATAATTAGTGAGTCATTGAGAAAGTTGAGTTGTTCTCGTTTGGAAATAGCAGTTAAAATTTCGATCAACATCAGCTGATCATGATTGAAATTTTTGGCTTTGGGTTTAGATTGAGCATCTCCTAGGTATACTCCATTTATGATTTATTTTTATATAATCTGTATAATAGAGACTTTCTGCAGTGCATTTCTATAACACAAAAATTGCTCATCAAAAACCCACCTAGCCAAATTTATCATTGGACTAGGTTGGTGATTGATTTATATTTTGGGATTGTTGACTCAAAGCTTGGTTTAATTTGTCAAACCCAATTTATGTGATGTATGTTGACAACATGTAAAGTAGGTTTAATTTCAAAGCATTGCATACTTTGCGGTCTCTTTGAAGCTATGAAATCACAAACATCAAAATTAATAATCTGACAAATCAGTCCAGCAAGAATGAGATCAATTTTCCTCTGTTTTTCTTTTTTTTTCATTCAGTAATAAATTTCTGAATGCTTTAATTATTTCAACTCACATGAAGTAGTTGGAAGAGGAAAATTGATACTGAGGGAGTTTGAGTCATTGAATTCTTTGCTGGAAATAGTTATACTTTCCTAACCATGAGTTATTATATGCCTAATTCAGTTCCTTAAAAGTTACTTGTATCTCTTAAGGTACAGATATTTAAACTGTTACTGAAATAACATGCTATTGATGAAGAAAAACTGCAGGTTCACTTGGCAAACATGAAACAAGGAGTTGGTTTCTGAAAGCGAAGAAAGAGGGAGATCAGAAACTGAAATCACATCCAAATACTGAATTACTTGTTCTGTCTTCTTTTCTAAAATCAACCTCTGTTGTCTTCCAATTGCTAATCAGCCAACTTTGTTATTTTCTCCTCTAGGATTTTCCAAGCACAAAAAAAAAAAATTCCCTTGCTAGTTGATAAATATTTTGGTTATGGAAACTGTAATTCCAGGAGCTTAAGTTGTTAGCTAATATTTTCTATTATGAATAAGTTGGTTTCATCTATTAAACTTTTAGATTCAATGAGATTGATTAAAAATTAAATATTATATCAAAATTAAGTGTGCTGAGTTCATGATTATGTAATTAATTTTTACTGTGTTTGATTTGAATCATCCTTCATATGGAAAGCATGAAGAATATAAATGCCTCTTAGCTTTTTGTGATGGTGGAAGTTGCTAACGTTATTGACCACGATGTAGGGTCCTTAGTGAGCCTGAAAACAGTATATTAATATTTAATATGCTGCTCCTTTTGGTCAATTTGGGGTCTACAAGATCATGGCCATGTCCATTAGTTCATAAAGGTGACCTAACATGTAAACTTTGTTTTAAATTGCATAAAAATAAAAAAAAAAGATAAGTTTATATGTTTATTTCAATTTTCTAAAGTTTTGGGTGAAATACATATTTTAAATCTTTTCTACTTATTGATAAAAGAAATTGATATATATGACAGTTGGAGCCTTTATGATGCCAAGTAAGTGTATGACTTACACATAAAAACTTTATCATCTTATTAATTTTTTTAACTACCTTTGTTTATATATATATATATATATATATATATATATATATATATATATATATATATATATATATATATATATCTCCAAACATTCCATTACAAATTCCAAAGTT